TATTTATTTATTTAACTTATATACATCTAAACAAAACATTGTCACAGGTCAGTGGAGACTTAATTTCTCCATCTGCTACAGCTTAATTTTTTATTTATTTTTATTATTTTTAAAAGATATGATCCTAGGAAACAGGCACAGACCTTTTTCTTCAGGAAGGCTTTCCCTCATTGAATAGCTGCCTGAGTGGGATTTTTAGACAGATTTTTATGCATTACTGCTCTGACTGGGTTTTTAGTATTGCTTCTGTTTATTATTTTTCAGAGTGGTATTTATTGCTTTAAAAATATTTACATACTTATTGTTGTTAGTTTTAAATATTGTCTTTTAATGATGTAAGTCAGCTTTGCATACTCATTGTTTTTAGTTTTAAATGTTGTCTTTCAATAATGTAAGCTGCCTTGGGCCCTTTTTAAGGAAAAAGGTGAAATAAAAATATAATAATGAAATAAATAATTACTCAGTGCTAAGTGATATAATTCCCCCCCCCCAAAAAAAAACAAAAGGTGAAAGGAAATAATACCCTTTAACATCCACTTCATCATCATCAACCCAAGTGTAGAACTGTGTTGCTAGAATGCCGGAAACATCTAGTTCTTGAATGTCATGACTCGAAGCTATTGCAATACAATTCCTGTTTGCCTAAAAAGATACAATGGGTGGGGGAAAATAATAATCTGGGCAACAAAATACAACTGTAAAAAAATACTTTGATTTCTCATAGACTCATTATTCCACATTCAACTGTGATCAGCCATTTCAATGAATTGTCCTAAGAATTCTGAATGCCATGCAGTACAGTGGTGCCTCACATTACGATTGCCCTGCATTACGACAAAACCCCATTATGACGATGTTTCATCATAATGATCTAAATGGGCTTGTTTCGCTTTGCGATGATCGGTTCCCTGCTTCTTTGCAAAACGATGATTTTTCTACAGCTGATTGGCGGTTTCAAAATGGCCACCGGGTACATAAAATGGCTCCCCGCTGTTTTCTGGGACGGATTCCTTGCAAGATAGCCACCGAAAATGGCCACCCTATGGAGGATCTTCACTGGACGGTGAGTTTCCAGCCCATTGGAACACATTGAAAGGGTTTCAATGCGTTTCAATGGGCTTTTTATTTTCGCATTATGATGTTTTTGTTCTACAGCGATTTTGCTGGAATTAATTAACATTGTAGTGCGAGGCACCACTGTATACATTATTTGGATTATTTTAAGCATTACCGATAAGTTTCTCTTCCTTACTTAGCGCAGGTCCATCTAGTCCAATTTCCAAAAATCCACAAGCAGGGCATGGTTGTCTGTCTGTTCCCAAGGCCCAACTTCTCATATAAATGGCCCCTCCCCCAATTTAAAAGTGCATTCACAAAGTTTTACTATAATTATTTGTTAACAACAATAATTAATTACATTTTTTATTAATGATAAAAATTAATTTTGGTCACCCAAAGTCCTGTGAAGATGACAAAAGATTACTGCAAGGGAGATGTCAGTACTCTTGATGCATGGAGTGCAGAGCAAAACCATTAATGTAGAAGAATAAAAATCTCATTTCTCTACTTGTTACAGCTTGCTTTTACAAAAATCTACAAGAATGCTACAAGTACAATACTTCATCCTTCATACAAGCCTGAGTTACAACATTCTGAAATATTCCATACATTGGAGAAAGACCCCTTTCCATTTTCTTCTGTGAATACCTTGTTGACTGCAAAAGCAGTAATAATGTCAGACTCTTTGTGGATAATCCTTGCTTTATTTCCAGGGTATCCCAGATCAGTCTCTACCTGTATTAAAAAGGGGTAGGGATGGGGAAGCAAACACATAGCCTAATTGAAACAGTATTATTTTCTATTTTAATCAACGTAAATTATTTATGATTTTCTACTATAAAACAGAAACAGACGTATGTTATTCAAAACATTGCTTTCATTTGTTCAAGATGAGGCAAAGAAAAAAAAAGTAGTTGAAATAGCTATAAGCAGAATTCCAAAATCCATTTTGATGTAATCTCATTATTTGGCAAAAATAAATATTTGGTCACAAAAGTGTGTAAGTTTTCAGGGGCTTCCAGACCTCTTCATCTAGCAGGATTTTATAAAGTGAGCGATGGGGAGATAATCTGACATGATAGTGAAGCTATAGTGTTTGCATGAACATGCTCTTGAAACATAATAGGTGCCTCGCATAGCGACGATAATCCGTGCAGCAAAAATCATTGCAAAGCAATTTCATCGCTATTCGGAAATAAAAAGCCCATAGGAATGCATTAAAACCCATTTAATGCGTTTCTATGGGCAAAAAACTCACCTTTAAGCGAAAATCCTCCATACGGCGGCCATTTTCGCTGCCCGGTAAGCGAGGAATCTGGGCAAAAACACAGCGGGCGGCCATTTTGGAACCGCCGATCAGCTGTTGGAAAATCATCACTATGCGATGATCGGTATGCGAAACAGGGTACTGATCATCGCAAAGCGATATTTTCCTATCTAAACCATTGCAATGTGATCGCAAAAAATCATCGCTATGCAGATTCATCGTTAAACGAGGCGCCTGTTAAGAGAGGCACCACTGTAGTTGATAAAGGATCTGTAGATCAAAACTCTAGCAAGTGAAATGATGAGTTAGCTTCATGTTTGATTTTGCAACTCCTAAAATATAAAATCTTAATTGTTCTTTATTTGTATCACAGCTCTGCAAAATTTAAAATTATATAGGAAAAATTAAAATCAAAGTATTTATAACTCTTTCCATCTGAAATAAGCATATTGGCTTATTTCCAAGTTGATTCAGATTCTTCCCCTATCCTGCTATGAGGAGGTGGAGAACAGCAGGAGCAACGAGGACCCTGTCAGTGGGCCATTATGCCTCTCCCCAAGAATTTCCAACCTCCGGTTCCCCAGTTAACCTGGGAGAAACAATGGTAAAATAAGAGAATTTAAAAAGTGTGGGACAAGGGAAGAGAAAGGGAGCTAAAAGGCAAATTAAAGGCAGTAAGCATGTTAGTGGGGGGGGAGAAGAGAAGGAGCTGAGAAGGAGTGTGAGAGCGAGTGCAATGCTGAGGAAGACACTAGAAGGACAGAGTCAACCGACAAACAAGAGGTATGGAGGGATGTGGCCAAGGAACCAGGACTGAGATATATATGGGGAGATAGTGACTATTAAAGAAATAAAACCCAGCAGGAACAGGAGTATATCAAAAAGAGGATCCCTGGACAGGCAAAGTGGTCTCATTACAGGTCTCCAAGGAGGAATCTGAGAGGCAGCAAAACAGAAAGCCACCCTCAAAACTCTTCTAGGGGGGAGGAACAAGAATGAAGAGAGAAGCATCAACGTGCCCATGAACTAACTGCCAAAAGGTCTCTCCCTCACCCCAAACAAACCTGCTGGATTTACCAGGAGAAAGCTTGTCAACAAACCATATGACATTCTGAGACGGGGAAGGGGGAAATCAAAATTATATCCCCTCCCATTCGGTGCAAGGGCTTATAAACATCCTTGTTGCAGCGCTCATTGTCTAGCTTAATTAAACCTTCTATTCTGAGAGCACTCAGGATCCAGAAAACTCACCCTTAAGGGTAGGAGGACGTTTTGAAGGTGAAGTAAGGGTGGGAAAGGACTGTTTTGTATTACCATCTCAGTTGGAATTGTTGAATGTCACTGCTGAACAGTTACAAAGTATCTCAATACACTAAATTGTTTGCTTGAAAATAAATGTGTTCTACAATGTTCCTTCCAATGCTGTAGGACTTTACTGACAGGAGTGAGCTGAGCAGGAAGGGGGAGACTACATAACGAAACAGAGGCACTTTCTGCTAGTGGAGCAACAGCCGCCCCACCAGATTTTCCCAAGTACCGTATTTTTCTTTGTATAAGATGTTTTGTATTACCATCTCAGTTGGAATTGTTGAATGTCACTGCTGAACAGTTACAAAGTATCTCAATACACTAAATTGTTTGCTTGAAAATAAATGTGTTCTACAATGTTCCTTCCAATGCTGTAGGACTTTACTGACAGGAGTGAGCTGAGCAGGAAGGGGGAGACTACATAACGAAACAGAGGCACTTTCTGCTAGTGGAGCAACAGCCGCCCCACCAGATTTTCCCAAGTACCGTATTTTTCTTTTATAAGATGTTCCCACTTTTCTAACCCAAAATGTCTTTCTTTGCAAAAAGTTGCTTTCCCCCTTGCAAAAAGTGGAGGGGGCAAGCAGCTTTTTGCAAAGAAAGTGGAGGGGGAAATCGTTTCTTCTTTCCCCCTCCACTTTCTTGAGAGAAAGGTCCTTTTCCCCTCTACTTTCTTTGCAAAAAGCTGCTTCCCCCCCTCCATTTTTTGCAAGGGGGAAATCAGCTTTTTGTAAAGAAAATGGTGGGGGAAAGCACTTTCCTCACAAGAAAGTGGAGAGAGAAAGTGCTTTCCCCTTCACTTTCTTTGCAAAAAGCTGCTTTCCCCCTCCATTTTTTGCAAAGAAAGTGGGGCAGGTGCTTTCCCCCTACACTTTCTATGGAAAAATTGGAGGGTGAAAGCAGGGATTAAAGTGTTTTAATCCCTCCCCCCTCCTTACTACCATGTATAAAACAACCCTCATTTTTTCATCTAATTATTTTAGGAAAATGTGTCGTTTTATACACTGGAAAGTATGCTATATCCTGCGCTGCAGTCAATTCCACTCAGATAAGTCCATGAACCAGAAAGGAGCATGTCCGCATCCAAGAGGTCTGGTGGCTGGAAAATTAGCTTTTGGCAACAGCCAACCCAGCAAAATGAACAGAAATAAACATAGCGAACCATTAAAACATTTACTTGCATTACATCTTACTGTTTCTATTGCTATCATCTCTACCTTATTGATGCCAGCTTCTTCTGTTGAAGTATTTTTCATATGTTCACTTTGGTCTTCTATTGACTATATATATATATAAAAACACATGACAAAAGAGAAGATGAGACTGACACTCAATTCTAGACCAAGTGTGTGGCTTATATATTATCCCATTGCAATATATAAAGCTCTCTCTAAGTGGTTTCACCCACAAAATGTTTTATGCTAATTATGCAGGCCACACATTCCCCTCCCCCACTGAGCTGGGTACTCAATTTACCGACCTTGGAAGGATGAGTAAACCTTGAGCCAGCTACTTGAATCAGCTGGGTTAGAATTCAGGTTGTGAGCAGAGTCTTGACTGCAATACTGCAATTTAACTCCTGCATCACAATGGACAGCAACATAAAAATTGTGTAACTTCATGCATGTGCAGTAAGAGTAAACTTTGTGCAGCAAGTCCATGTAGCATACCAATCACTTCTCTGAGAGTGTTTCTCTAAGTAGATTTGATATATTCTGCTTCATTATTTAGATGAATGCACTAAGGCAGCGATGGCGAACCTATGGTACATGTGCCACAGCTGGCACACAGAGCCATAAGTCGCCATCGAGAAATACCCATCTTCCAATCCTGGATTCTGGCACTCCTCTCTGCTGGTGCAGTGGTCCAGTGGAGGAGTGAAATGACAACCATTGCCAGTCGAGCCGAATGGATGATTGGAGGACCAGTAATTATTTCTTTGTTAATACCACCCATAGGAAAAAAAATGCACCTTGAGGTGCAGGAGCAGTTGTTTTTTGTAAACTAAAACCTTAGTATTCTGGTTTTAATTGCAGTGTTGGCACTTTGAAATAAAGAAGTTAATTTTGTGTTGCCGTTTGGGCACTCCAAAAAAAGTTCACCGTCACTGCATTAAGGGACGTCTTCCACACTTACATGAAGTTCTGTTACCTTTAAATATCAATATTAAGCTCATACTAATTTGTGTGTGGTTTTTTTAAATAAAACCGAGGAACTTTTTAGGTTTATCATTTCTAATTGCTCACAAGATTAAAAGAAAGGATAAGAAAAAAGTTGACATAAAATGAGTGTGGTAAGACTCACTGAACATGACTCCTGCATGTAAGATAATCTGACAAAAATAATGAGTAATAGATCTGAGCAGTGCATTAAAGTGGAATTCTTAAACAGCCAGGAATTAATAATTAAGGCCTGATACAGTGGTGCCTTGGAAGACGGCTGCTCCGTTTAACGGCGAATCCACATTACAACAAGGTTTTTGCGATCGCAAAACGACGTTTTGAATGGGGGAATTTCACTGCGCGATGATCGGTTCCCTGTTTTGGGAACGGATTTTCGCTTCCCGACGATCAAAACAGCTAATCATCGGGTTTTCAAAATGGCCGCCGGATGCTCAAAATGGCTCCCCACTGTGTTTAGGAGCCATTTTTCGCTGCGCAGGCTCCCGAAAATGGCCGCCCCTATGGAGGATCTTCGCTGGACGGTGAGTTCTTAGCCGACTGGAACGCATTAACCAGGTTTTAATGCGTTTCAATGGCTTTTTTATTTTCGCTTTACGACGTTTTCGTTCTACAGCTATTTTACTGGAACGATTTAACATCAGAATGCGAGGCATCACTGTACTTCACGAAGGTACAGCTATGAAAAGAGCTTGAGGGTCAGCATAGTTTTAAGTACTGAATCTCCTTCAATGAGAGACTTTAGTTACTGAATGAAAATGCATATTGTTAGGAGGTAGGCAGATGACCATAAGATTTTTAAAAAATCAATTTTAATATTTTATAATTACTACCGACTTCTACCTCAGCAACATAATGTGTCCATGTCCTGTAGCAACTATGTGCAACGTTTCAAATGTTTTGTTATTGTCTGCCATCCAACTTATAATGATCCTAATAGGGTTTTCAAGGTACAGTGGTGCCTCGCAAGACGATTGCCTCAGGGGACGAAAAACCTGCAAGACAATTGGTTTTTGCGATCTCCTATGGTGCCTCGCAAGACAGTTTTTTCTATGGCCGTGCTTCGCAAGACTTTTTCCCCCCTCGAGACCGATGCCTCGCAAGACGAATAAGGTTCCATAGGGAACCTCGCAAGATGATAATTTTTGCAGAACGAATTAAAATTGTCTTGCGAAACACCACTATATGAGATATTCAAAGAGTGGTTTTACTGGCCGTTCCCCAGAACATTCCATGACCAAGCAGGGATATAAATCTGGTCTCCAGAATCATGGTCTGTCATTCTATTCACTGCACCACACTTTCACCCACAAAATATTTTATGCTCAGGTGGAGGATATTCAAAATATTGTCGATATTTAAAATCAACACAGACCTCATTTAAGCACCTCGTTTTTCTAAATATGTTTCTGATGAAGGTTTCTTGGACCATTTCTTGTTTAATGAGATATAGCCAAAGTCTCTTCACAGACAGCGCATTGCGACTTTTAGACCTAAAGATGACAGAGAAACATTTTTAAAGCATGCTGAAATTTCAGAAGATATTACTTGGGGGGAAAAACACAGAGTGAAATGGGAAACTAAGCATTTCAAAACATTAAGAAGTGAAACATTTGCATCAGGTAATAAAATAAAATCTCATGCTTTATTTAAATTCTTGGCCGTGAAATCATATAACGTTGAAAAGTGTGTTCCTGTATTTCTCGGATGAAATTCTTGATGTTACTACTAATAATAAGACCGTATGTAACCTGCAAGAGATATTCTTTGTGGCACCTGCTCCATCACACAATGGAACTGTTAATAAGCAGTAAAAACACTGTCATTCCAAAGCATGAGCCATTTTCTTCTCTTCTCAAACACTCATTTCACTTGTATTTTTAATTCTAACATGGAGGAAGGATATCCTCTACTGAAATCGTTCACTACGCCACAGAGAAACATATTCACGTGTGATATTCACGGCAGTATGGCAATGAAACTAAAAAAAGGTTCTCAATGAACACGTGCTATTGTCAAGACCTACCTTGTAGAACTGTGATTAAATTCTGTGAAAAACTGGGAGGGACCCAAGGAATATCAACTCCAAATCTGGCTGAAGAAGGAAATTCACTGCTAAAACATGCCTCTAATATAGCCATTTAACATCTATCTGCGTAAAAGCCTCCAAGGAAGGAGAGTCCATCACCCTCTGAAATAAACTCCATTTTCAAGCAGCTCTTACTGTGAAGAGATTCTTTTTAATGTTTAAGTGAAATCTCGTTTCTCATAATTTGGATCCATTAGTTCAGGACATAAAAGAAACAAGTTTGCTCCATCTTCCACGTGACAGTCTTTCAAATATTTGAAGTTCTTTTCACCAGGCTAAACATGTCTGTTCCTCAAAGACCTTGGACCATCCAAGCTGTTAACTTCCTGGATCTTCAATTTTTACTGCATGGTCTTCTAATGGGAGACCACTGAGACTCATGTTATTAATATTATTATTATTTCCATTATACACAGCCCATGAAATGTTGGCTAGATTTACTTCCTTATAAGCTCATTTCCAAGGACCTAGGATATTTGTAGCCATTTCCTTAAAATATATGCTGTTCCAAGTAAGGCAGCCTTCTGCAGGTGATTTATCGTGATCTCATTTACATTTATAATGCAAGGGTATGATCAAACTGAGAAATATGCAGATTGCAATTTGGTGCAGTCTGTTTCCTGGTGACCACACGACAAAGAGAGAAATGCACTCCAGCCTGACTCCTATCTGTGACCAAGCTGGACCACTGTGGTTCAGCTATAGGACTTCTACTTTTGTTGGCTGGGCTGGAGTGATTCCCCAGGAGACAGAAATATTACTTTAAGAGAGATTACTTCTGTTAAATGGACCCTTTCCAGTGTGATCAGCATCTCTGAAGCTGCCTGAGTGCAGAAAAAGAGAGTTTTCTTTTTTAGTATTGTATCTAAAGCACCAATTAGAACTGGAACAATTTTAGTTTTCTTTTGCCATAATTGCTTGCTCTCAAGTCTTTGGATTTGGCAATCTTCTCAAATCCCTTCTTTTTGATTCTAACATCCTTAGATATTACCACATTTAGTATCCACATTTGCTTCCTTTCAACAATTATCAAATCAGGTGTGTTGAATCTGGAAGTCCCATAATATTTCAACTTTCAACAACTTTTTCAGTGTTATGGTTCTACCAGTTTTTGATCACTGGTATATTATATTTCTTACAGATATTCCAGTGCACTACTGTTGCAACCAATGCTGCCATTTCAAATAATCTCTTCACATGATCTTCTTTCTGCCACAAACCACTTGGTCCACTGTTTCTTCTGTTTCTTTACCCAACCAACATTTACTGTCATCAAACGATTTCTCAATCTGGGTTTTAATCACATTTACATGGAATGCTTGCCCTTGTGCTGCAAGGATAAGCCCTTCACTTTCTTTCTTCAGGGGTCCTTTTCTCAGGCCTTGCCCTGTCTTTCCACTGTTGGCTTTCCCCTGGATGTTAAGGTATTAGCCATGGAATGCTTTATTCCGCAATTATTCTCACTGTACAGTATAATTAACTCCTCTTTTCCATAGGCTTCCCTTGTTTCTTTAATCTTTATTAACTTCTCTAAATGGTTCTTAACTTTCCCTGATATATTTTGCTAGACCTATCTTCTGTTGCTTAACTGATTGTTTGATTTGTTGCATTCTATGTTCATATTTACTCAGTAGAAGACACAGTCAGTCAATGTCACTGCATGGAGACAGTGCATGATGCAAGGTCATTAGTTTTATAATTCTTTGATCGGAAGTATCTAGTTCAGTCTATTATGCTTGTATTACATTAAACAAGATGGCACTGCAGCCGTAACACAGTGGATATTTATAGCTTTTAAAGCTTTGATTTTAGGACTTTTCTAACCTTTCTGAATTGATGCTTTTGATTTGTGGTGCTAGAGGAGACTCTTGAGAGTCCCCTGGACTGCAAAGAGAACAAACCTATCCATTTTGAAGGAAATCAACCCTGAGTGTTCACTGGAAGGACAGATCCTGAAGCTGAGGCTTCAATCCTTTGGCTATCTCATGAGAAGAGAAGACTCCTTGGAAAAGACCTTGATGTTGGGAAAGTGTGAAGGCAAGAGAAGTGGATGTCTGGGGACGAGATGGTTGGACAGTGCCATCAAAGCTACCAACTCTGACCCAACTCTGGGAGGCAGTGGAAGATAGGAGGGCCTGGCATGCTCTGGTCCATGGAGTCACGAAGAGTCGGACATGACTTAATGACTAAACAACAACAAAACCTTTCTGATATATTCTTTACTAATTCTACTCTTAATTTCCTAACACATGACATATTCTGCTTACAAGATACTCAGGTATTGCTTGCTTTTATAACTTTCTTCTGCTGTAAGACTCTTTATGTTATTGCCATTTGGCACTTAAATGTGACTGCTGTTTGACTGCATATTTATTGCTAATGTTGCACACTCCTGAAGTCCAAAATCCATTGCTATGCTGCTGCTTTATTTTCCTCCTCATCATTATATTTCTATCTTATCTCTCCAATACTAGGTGACTCAAAGCAGCTTGCAATCATTATAAAATATGACACACACTAAGGCCAAATTCAACCACAGAATCATTAAAATCTAATAATATAAAATAAGACTACAAAGCCATTAAAATCAGGACATCTACAAACAGTTAAAATTATCAAAAAAGGTGAACAACACTATGCGCCAGTTTAGAAAGATGTGCATACTCCTTCTAAAAGCAGGAAGAGTGGAAGCTCATTGTGGCTCTGAAGAGAGTACATCACACAATAAGGGATCCTCACAGGAAAAAAATTCTTTCCCCTCTGTCTGTTTAGTGGGCTTCTGCAGCTTGTATTCTCAAGAGGGCCTGTCCTGAAGATCTTAACATCTGGACAGATTCCTAAGAAAGCAAGCAGTCTCTTAGCCAATTACCAAAGCATTTAGAGCTTTGAATGTCAAAACCAGAATTGTGAATCAGGTTCAGTAAACAACTGGCAATCAATGCAGTCCTTTAGTATTGGTGTCATATAATATTGATATCATGCATGGGTTAGCAGACTGGATTGGAAAAGGCCCACATGACTTTGCAAATATTATTTGGTCTTCCAGTAGTTCACATGCATGGTCTGCTCAGAAGGAAAATCCTCTCTTGTTTTTAGTCAAATGTAAGTACTATATATCAAAACTAATCACTATATATCAAAACTAAGAGTTTAGAAACTCTTAATTTCTAAACCAAATTACAGTAGAACTAATTTGCTGTGCAGAAAACTTAATAGTTCCCCTTTGCAAACGTTTAGCCAACTGAAGTGGAATGAATCTTAGAAACAAGGACATAAGAAACAAACATATTTAAATCTATTCTTCTTTCTCCATGCAGAGATAAAAGAACTTACTGCTTGTTCTGTTTTCTTTTAAACAAACTAGACACATTTATGATACATGCATCTTATCCTTATAAACTTCTAATTAAAATCAAATTTACTAGTGATAGTGTAGAATGGGACATATTAAAAGGATAGTGAAAAATAGAGATTTCAGAATTTTGTCATAACACATTACTACAAATACATTATTAGAGTATATACAAAAATATTTTAATACAATTCATTTCTTTCTTTGTGCTTACCTGAAAGGGGTGTTTGTTGGTTCCAGAAGAACTTTATGGCGTAAAAGTGCAGGACCAGATGAGGATGCATCTTCTGAAGTATGAACAGAAATGAAGTCTTCTGGTGGGCCACCATGCATCTCAAGTCGTTTGAGCAGAACCTGTTCCCAGCGTTGAAGTATCTTCAGAACGGCATGACATAGTGGGGAGCTAACGGGAAGCTCTACAGAAAGAAAAGGCAACTTTATTTAACTAAAGTCACTTCAATAAAGAGCAGTACGCCCTTGCAATGTTTCATACCAAATATTTTCTGTTACTATGTTGCTGCCATTACATGAGTAACACTATATCCCAGAGAGGAAAACATATAGTTTTTTTCCCCATCAAAGCTCTTACCAATTTCAGAGGTGTTCTGTAGCAGGTCAAATGTACATATAAAATTCCAGGTGCAAATGAGGGAAGAACTGTGATGTGGTTGTTAAAACAAATCTAAAGCTAGCTAGCTATTTGTTGAATGAAAATTAAACTTCTTTAGCCCAACCCAAAAAGCTTTATAGATATAAACAATAAAGATTCTCTTGTGCAAATGGCGTAACTTTCATCGACAAATTAGCCCAAGTTAAGAAATCACTGTAGACATTACTAGATAGATGCATACTGAGTTATACAACTCAGTATGCAACTGATAATGTCTACAGTGAGTTCCCAACTTGGGGAAATTCGCCTACAAATGTTACATTGTTTGTACTATGCTAAGTAACAGGATTTTGCCTGTGGCGTAGTATAGTTAGGATTACATTTATTCATTATTTTCATTTTTTAACACGAGACAGTCCTCAAAGGCATATGCATTCTAGCCTATAGGCAGAAAAAAAAATTAGGGAGTTTTACACAGTAAGGAATTTTACAAATATTACTTAATATTTGATGCCTTATTGCTAAGTTCTAGGGGGAAGATTTCTATGACATTGCACATTTTCTCTGCAACCTACATTTGAACCCATAAGTAAGTTCAAACATGTCTGTGGGTAATGTGGCCTTTCTCACCAGATTACTGATAAACATGTTCACATCCACTCATAAACTCACACACAAGTTGCAGGAAAAAAATGACATTGCACAGAAGTCCTCCCCTAGTTATTGCCTTTCTCTAGATTTTTTAAAATAAATAGTACTAACTGAAAGATTACTTATTACAAAGATAGGCTCCTGCAGTGAGCTCTCTGATTTAGTTACCATATTTTTCCGTGTATAAAACGACACTTTTAACTTAAATAATTAGAGAAAAAAATTGAAAGTTATTTTATACACGGAAGGCAGCAGCTTTCCCTGCCTTTTGAGAAGCCGGTAAAGCAGCTGTGAAAGGGCAGCACACCTGCACCCCTTTGACCCTAAAGCAGCCATGAAAGGGCTTCAGGATCAAAGGGGTGCAATCCTGCCGCCCTTTCACGGCTGCGTTACCCATTTCCTAAGCCCCGCAGGGCTTAGGAAGTGGGTAACACAGCCATGAAAGGGCAGCAGGATCACACTACTTGGATCCTACAGCAGCCATGAAAGGGCTTCAGGACCAAAGGGGTGTGATTGTGCAAATTTTCAAATTTAGGGGTTAGAAAAGGGGGAGTCGTCTTATACATTGGGTCATCTTATAAACAGGAAAATAGGGTACATTGTTTTATCAAAATGAAGTCAGAAGACACTTCTTTTAAGAATTCCTCTAAATCAGTGGTTCCCAACCTTGGGTAGCTTAGGTGTTCTTGGATTGCAATTCTCAGAAACCCCAATCTGCACAGCTGGTGGTGAAGGCTTCTGGGAACTGCAGTCCAAGAACACCTGGTCTACTCAAGGTTGAGAACCAGCAGCAATGTGCAACTATGATAGATGAAATTATAGTTATGCTGGTATAAATAAACACAAGTAAGCACATGAGAAAAAGAAGGTAACTTAACTCATCTGGTAAATCTGGAGTGGCTCTATAATATACATTAACCCTAAAAACCGTTCATGCAGGATTACCTGAAAGATCATGCCCAGCCAAAGGATAGAAAGTCTTCAAGTTATGAAGAACCAGTTGAACCATAGCCAATCTCATGAGTGACCAGCTAAACAGAATAAACAAACATTTATTCTTCTTTCTTGAAGTCATTTATAAAGATTAAAACACAGAAATACCCTGATTATTTTTCTATGACAAAGAACAGTGATTTCCTACTTCCAACTGTTTTGAAGTTTTCTTTCTATTATAAGGCAGTACAAGCCAGTCTAACTGCTATGAAGGGATGCTGGAAAAACTGAAATGTTATTCAACTCCAAATTTATCCAAACAGAATATTGGTAATGATGCTTTCAAAAGTGCTAAACATTTCACCTGTAAAAATGCACTCTCTGTAATAAAGGAAGTGAGAGCCAGTGTGGCGTAGTGGACCAAGTGATGGACTAGGACTCAGAAGACCTGAGTTCAAGTGCTCCTTAATATCGCACATACGTTGATAATATACACTTCTGCAACAGTTCATAAAAAGAAAAAGACTATGTTCTATTTCTCACTTTCTCATTCCAATACATAACAAATATTGTTCACTGCTCACAAAATCTATGTTTACCTTGCAAATAATTTCTTTGAATGCTCTCGTAATATATCAGTGTAGTTAACAAGGTAGTGTTTGGGATATCAAACCATTAATTTATATTCCACCCTATCAAAAGCTTTCTTGGCATTTGTAAAAAAATAACATAGCTTCTTTGCTAGTTTTTTTAAGTTTTAATATCAGATTTATCATCCAGCACATTTACTTAGGGATGCTAAATAATGATGGCTACTCTGTCACATGTTTTTGTCATGTGACATTGTGTAAGTTCTCATTCCTAACTTCACTGATGCTAGAAACTTTTCATCATCTTTTTTTTATCATATCTCATGCATAAACAATATTTTCACCTGTTTATTAGAAAAAGACTAGCATACTTCCTGCTTTAACATGGATCATTTCACCCTTTCACATGTAATTTCAGTATTTTATCCAAGGTGGGTAAAACTCAAATTCAATGATTTTAAAAATAAAATAAAATAATTTTAAATTATGATGTAAATAAAAAAAACATCCCCATCTTTATTAATAATTACTCTTAAAAAGTGGGGGAAGTGAAGGAGAAAGAGAGATCACTGGCTTTTCTATCGTTGAACACTCATAAGGTAGATAGGTGTTTTCGTCCTAAAATTTTTGAAAGACAAAGACTACCGCACACTAGAAAACACGAAGTACAGTGAGAGGATAAAATATGAATGCACCAATATGCATAATGAGCCATTTAAGAATGGAGAGAATGTTTATTACCATTTTCTAGATCACCCATTTCACACACATACAAAAAGGTATATAATAGTAATTTTTTTAAAAAAAATCAAATTTCAAATTATTTCATACCTATATGAATTTGAATGTTCTTGAAACTTCAAGTCTGATGAGAATGTGCTATCACCCTCTTCATCACTGCTTTCTTGACTCTCCTCTGAGTCATATTCAAATTTTATTTGTGATGTTGGAAGGAATGGCTAAAGAGACAAATTAAGAGCTGTTAAATTTCCATCCAAGAAAAATACACAAACACAAAAAGCACATGCCCTTGCTTTATTTTGTTTCAGAAAGGTTTTTGTTTTGGCTTCAGGGATGGTTAACTGAGTCTTTAAAGTTTAAATCAATCAATATTAACTTGCTTTTGTCTTCATAAATGCAAACAAGAAAAATGACAAGCTTTTTTCTGAGTTCAGCTAAGAATCACATTTTATGCATGTTTCACAGGCTTCCACTTTCTTTTAACATGTTGTCATTTGATAACAAGCTTCCTTCCCATATTTTGTCCTTAAAACAGGTTAGACTTTTCTTTCTATCTGGCTTTAACAAATTATGTCAACCTATGTGTTATCTGATGTGGAAGTTTTTAATCTGCATGATAAAATCTTAAGGATATCAGACTGGCTTTCTAACAGGTGCCACGACACACTAACATAAATGTTTACCACACTGCATGACAGTTGCACTCATTCAATGAAAACAACCTATTTTCACTGTTTTCACCATACATACAGTAAATGGGTGGGTGCAAGAGGTGTGACGAAGGATAATCATCCCTTTAAGATGTGGGTATTGTATAGCTTGAAGCTCCACTTTAGTTTCATTTATTTCCATTTATCCAGCAATGGACAAATGTACAGTCTATTGTGGATGATCTTTGTTATTGTAAGGAGGTTTAGTGTGGGATGCATCAATATTTCCCATACGCCAAGTGCTAAAGCTTCTATTAGACACCGACAGATAAGCAGAATTTATTAGAGATCACCTGGGGAAAGAACCAATTGATAAATGGTTTACCCGCAGATGTTCTGGGGCAGTGGTTCTCAACCTTGGGTAAACCAGGTGTTCTTGGACTGCAGTTCCCAGAAGCCTTCCCTATCAGCTGTGCTGGCTGCAGTTTCTGAGTATTGCATCCAAGAACATCTGGGTTACTCAAGGTTGGGAATCACTGTTATGGGGTGAAAATTTCAAGGATGATTATTTTTTAATAAGAACTGGGCTAGACAGTTCTGGAATGTGTTTATGCTTTGATGTCTGTTATCAGTTTGCAGATTAATAATACAGTGGTGCCTCGCTTGACGATTACCTCGTTAGACTAAGAAATCGCTTAACGATGAAGTTTTTGCTATCGCTTTTGCGATCGCAAAACCATGTTTTAATAGGCAAAAATTGCTTAATGACGATTGGTTCCCTGCTTCGAGAACCGATTTTTCGCTTAACAACGATCAAAACAGCTGATTGTTGGGCTTTCAAAATGGCTCCCCACTGTGTAAAATGGCTCCCCGCTGTGTTTTAGGATGGATTCCTCGCCTTATAGGAACCAGAAAATGGCCGCCCTATGGAGGATCTTCGCTGGATGCTGAGGTATTTCGCGCATTGGAATGAACTGAACCCATGTATTTCCATGGGCTTTTTCATTTCGCTCGACGAGGATTTTGTTCTACAGCGATTTTGCTAGAACGGATTATCCTCATCAAGCGAGGCACCACTGTACACTGTGCTTTCATTTTGCCAGTTAGTAAAATGCAAATATAAAGAAAGGTGGCAGCTAGGCATGCTTAATGAACAGGTGCATCTACACTTAGGGTGTCAAAATATACATAAAGAGCCAAGATGAATGGTACAAGGAGCTTCAGCAGAGACCTAGATTTTAAAAAGTACTGCACAACTACTGATCCCGGAGTCAACCACTCTTTGTTGTTCAGAGGCTCCTGCAGAAGAAATATGAGGTTTCTGTTTGCCCTTCTACTTAACTGCTTATGCTTTCTGTTCTGCTGTCTCCTTAATTAAGTTTTAATGTTTCCCTCACTTATGTGTTTGCTGTTTCCAAATCCAAAATAATCTTTTCGACAACATAACAAAATAAGTGCCATTCTTAGAATTAAAAAATGCGAAGAGAATGCAACGAAGACAGAAAAGGAGCATCCCCAAATTATGTGAAGAATGTCCCTGGCAAATCCTTTCACTCTATAAGCATTCCTGGATTGCTTCTGATATGAACAAAGATCTCCTAAATGGCCCTAGGAGGAACAACTGAAGCTTGTGCTTTGACAATATTCTCTAAAATGTATCCCTCAAGTAACTCTGCCCTCAAATTAACTGAAACTGTGAATGAACTACATGAAGTTCTATAGCAAACTATTGGGACATCATCCAATTTAGGCATCCTTCACTCTTAAGAGACTATGGCAATGTGCTCTGTACGGAAGACTTGGAACAGTATCTAGTGTGGCTGAGAAGGCCAATTTGAGAGTGACAATCCCTTCTACACTGAAGACAAATCCAATCTGTCCCCTGTCCAGCTCCCTGATTTTGCTGCTTTCGTGACTGCCTCTTTGCCTTGGCCTGCTGAACAAGTGTCTCTTCAAATTGGGAGAGGCCATGATGCACCGCCTGCCTCCAGGCTGAACATTCAGATGTCAAGGTTTCCCATCTGTTGAGGTCCATTCCTAAGGCCTTCAGATCCTGCTTGCAGATATCCTTGCATCGCAGCTCTGGTCTCCCTCTGGAGCGATTTCCCTGTCCTAATTCTCCATACAGGAGATATTTTGGAATCTGACTGTCAGCCATTCTCAAGACATGCCTGAATAAACATAAATGTTGCTGTTTCAGTAATGTATACATGATAAAAATTCCAGCTCGTTCTAGGACTACTCTATTTGGAACTTTGTCCTGCCAGGTGATACCAAAAATGCATCAAAGACAACACACATTGAAGGTGTTCAGCTTCCTCTCCTGCTCTGCAGAAAGGGTCCAGGACTCCCTGCAGTACAGGAGTGTACTCATGACACAGGCTCTATAGACGTGGATCTTGGTATATGCAGGCAGCTTCTTATTAAGCCATATTCTCTTTCTGAGTCTAGATAACATGGTAGCTCCTTTGCAAATGCATTTATCCTGCTTGACATCTAGAGAGAGTGTGTCAGAGATTGTTGAGCCAAGGTACACAAAGTCATGAACAACCTCCAATTCTTGTGAGGAGATGGTTATAGAGCGAGGTGAGTCCACGCCCTGGCCCATGACTTGTGTTTTCTTCAGGCTGATTATTAGTCTAAAGTCTTGACAGGTCTTGCTAAAACAATTCATGAGTTTTTGGAGGTCTTCAGCAGAGTGCGCAACAACAACTGCATCACTGGTGAAGAGAAAGTCCTGCATGTATTTCAGCTGGACTTCGTTCTTTGCTCTCAATATAGAGAGATTAAAGAGCTTTCCATCTGATCTAGTCCAAAGGCGTGCTTCAGCATGACAGCAAAAAACATCCCAAACCGGGTCAGCATGAGGACACAGCCATTTTTCACTCCGCTTTGGATGTCAAAGGGATCTGATGTTGAGCCATCAAAAACTACAGTGTCCTTCATAAGGACCTGATGAAGTTAAGGATTCAAGGTGCACATCCAATCTTGGGAAGTATTTTAAATAAGCTGTCTCTGTTAACCAAATCAAAGGCCTTTCTAAGATCTATGAAGGCCACAAAGAATGGCTGTTGTTGTTCCCTACATTTCTCCTGCAACTGTCTGAGGGAAAATACCATGTCAGTGGTGGATGTATTAGCTCAAAATCCACACTGTGATTCTGGATACACTCTTGTCTGCAAGCACCTGGAGTCTCTTCAGCACAACACGCGCAAGCAACTTCCCTACAATGCTGAGAAGAGAGATGCCACGGTAATTATTGTTCTCATACAATGTGATGATATTTGCAACCTTCATGTCCTGTGGCACTCCACCTTTCCTCCAGCGAAGACAAAAGATACCCTGTTTCCCTAAAAATAAGACCTAAAGTAAGCCCTAGTATAATTTTTCAGGATGCTTGTAATATAAACCCTACCCTCAAAATAAGCCCTAGTTAAGTGTGAAAGCCCCCTTCACCATTATGCAGAATTGTGCAGCAAACAGAAGATGAGATGACTGTAAAAGAAAACATCCCCTGAAAATAAGCCCTAATGTTTTGTTTTTTTTTTGAGCAAAAATTAATATAAGGCCCTGTCTTATTTTGGGGGAAATATGGTAGTACAATTGGGACATCACCCAATAATACTAGCATTATTGTGTGTATTATTGTGATAAGGGTGGAGATGATCTGTCAATGTGATCGATGGGTGTCTAGCTAGCTAACGATATCTATCAATCACAGTGACAGATCATCTCCCCCTTATCACAATACACCCATAACAAAAAACACCCTGATCACAATAATCACCCAATCTCCTCAAAAGAACAAAAAGCTGATCCCACAGCTACATATACTCTACTGTCCCACACACTACACCAGAACACAGAGTTCGAGTTCCTGTCCTCTGAAGATGCCGGCCACAGAGACTGGTGAAACATTATGAAGAAAATCCTCCAAAAATGCCAAACAGCCTGGAAAACCATCATAGAAATTCAATCTCTTAAATTAAAATACAATTAGAGCTTTTATCACCTACACAGCTGAGGCAGAGAATCGAAGACCTTGATGTGAGCACTAGTTTGAATCAGGATTCTACTTTTTGTTCCACTAAATGTACTCATCATGTCTCCAGCTGACATTTTAGAGGTACCTTTGCTATGAAGTAATCCCAGATACTAAGTTCAGGGGGAATAAACTTCTCTTTATAATTTGGTGAGTCTGTCTCCACTGATGACAAAGCAACTTGTGAAGTCTCTTTTGGGGATAATTTTGATGACATTCTAAACCGTTTGTGTTGCTTCTCCCCATCATCTACAGGAGAAGAGGCTACAAAGAGAAAAAAAGATGCAACTTTACAGTAAACCAATGAAGAGAAATATCACATTCATTTTCAAATCACTCAGACTTTTGAAAAGCTTCTAATTACAAAAAAACAAGCTCTAGTAAATATTATATTTAGCATTAGCAATTTATAAAACCGTAATCTCTAGTTTCTGAACCTAATCCCATTTTCCCTCTTATACCTGAGCATCCAAGAAAGTATGATTTCACTGCATGCCTTCACCAAAATGCATTATTTTTACATATTTGTATTCTGTCAGCAAAATGTCTTATTAACAGAATTCAAATATGTAGCTTAAGGATACAATTCACTTACCTTGATGATTTTTCTAAAAAAGGTATTTCAAAATGTAAGGTATTTTTAATCAGCACAACAAGCATGCACATGCACTGCAGAATACAGAGCATTAATTTTTGAGCTCAACCAAAAAAGGCCAACTTTTTTTTATATTGAAATGAAGGCACAGAATAATAAGCTTACAAAAAGTGTTACATGATACAGAGGTTCAAAAATATTTAAACTTCTGGATTTCTGTTTCCCATCACCTGTGCTTAAGCATCAATAACTATGCCTAATACTGCTGTTTAGGCCTGAAGTACCAATAATTTATTAGTTAAAAGATTATCAATCAGTTCTAAGCACCTTAAAGGGAATGCAGGCCCACAGACTTTGAAAATATTTGCTTTCCTATGGGTGTAATTATTAACGAGTTATAAAGATTCTTGGAATATAAGGCAAATCATTATACATGAGAAAGAAATTAAAAAGGTTTATAAAACATGTATATATCAATGATTTACTATCTGATGAGTCCAAAGTTAGTGGTCTATTATAATATATAATATGAATTAAGTAAATATTGGGACCTCAGAGATGTACTAAAAAGTATTTTGGAACACCTTTTTCTTAATAATAGCCACCACAAACTGTATCATGTTTTGCAGGAACAGCATGATTTTGAGCATTCCTTAGCTTGCAATGGAAAACTGCAACAATCAGCACAGTGAATTTGCATTCCATTTATCATCTGAAGCTCAAAATAGCTAGTTTGGTAGAATGCTGGCACAGAACTACTTTGGCACAATATCGTTTTGTCTTTTACTTGTTTTTGTACTGCCAAACAACTAAGAATGCTACATGAAGAATAACATGGATTTCTAGAAGCTTATTAAAAGAATTTGTAAACTCTGTGAAATCTCTTCACAGTTCATTTGATTTAGCATTACAGAGTAGATGTTATAGCTAAGGAGTCACTTGAACAGGGGTGTGCTAGATCCCAATCCAGCTACTGTATCTCAGTATGCCACACATTTCTTAGCAGGCATAATACCATCTATTCTGCATCATCACCATGGAAATTTCATCTGAATATAGTTCTGTTTATGCAAAACTGACAGTCAATCGTAAAAGTAATTCTTTCTTTCAAAAATTATTTTAATGCTATATAATACACTCCAATAATGTTATTCTAAAAATATACTATGGAGCATGTTGCTCAGGGGAAAAAAAGACATATTGGTCTTTAATTCTTCTCTGATCTCAGATCAGTTCCTCTCTTATCTCTTGATCTTTCTTCTTTAGAAAAATTAATACATCCTAAGACCAGCAACAATAAGAACAAGTTGCAGTTGCAACATGGATTCTTTATGTGATCATCTGTGAACTCTTGTAAATGGGCACTGCTTGTACAGAGGGTTGCTGAAACTTTCTAGAGTGGAGTACTTTAGGCAGAACACTGTCGCACCCTTTTACTGCACATAAAAAAAGTGTGCCTCAGCTCAGTCCACTCAGGACTGGTCTACCATGATGAACACATGGGGAGAGGCACTGAGAGGGCAGAAGGATGGGTTGTGTGAATTCACAGATGACCACTCAAAGAACCATATTTACAACTGCAATCTGTTGTTCTTCATGTTCTTGTTGACTCACACAAATAAAAGAAAAAAAGCTCTTTTACTAGTAGCGATAAATATTATATGAAAATGTAAGAGAAAAGTCCTAGTCCAAAGGAGGTATCTCCTCTGATCCACCTTCAGTCAATATTGATGGATAAATGTATAGAGATGAGACCGCGGCACTGTCCTACAGATGTCCAAAAGAGGTTCACCATGCAGGGAAGCAGATGCCAAGGAGGTGGCCTTGGTAAAACAGCTCTTTATTTTGCAACGGAGTGGAAAATGTGCCATGTGGTAAGGAACTACAATGAAGTCCACAATCCAATGGGCAAAGCACTGAGAAGAGAGAGCAATCTTGCTTAGGAACTGTACACCAAATAAGGAGATTGACGCATGAAGATATTCTAGATGTGCAGAAAGTCTAAGACATGTGAATGTCCAGGATATTCAAAGTTCACTCCAAAGAAGTGGAAAGATTTCAGAAAAAGGCAGGTAACATTATGTCCTGATTAAAATGGAAGGGATAAACTACCTTAGGCAAAAAAGTCACAGCACAACCTTGTCTGCAGGAAAGGACAAATACAGAGAGCCAGAATGGAGGGGACAGAATTCTGAGGCTCCCTGAGTAGAAGTTACGGCCACAAGAAATACAGGCTTCCATGTCAATAAACAGATGTCATGGGAATCCAAGGGCTCAAAGACTTCATCAGCTGAGACAAGAGAAAGAGAACAGGGAGTTATAGGTGGGCAAACAGTAGCAATGATATGGAGGCCTGTCAAAAATCTCTTAACAAACAACAAACAGTGAATCCAAAAAATGTTCATGAACAATAAGCCAAATTAGCTGTCAAATAAATCTTAAGGAATAAGAAGATTCTTGCTCACTTCCTGCTCTTTTCAATGATGTGAGGAATTCTAAAACATAAAGAACAGATCAAATATCATGATGCAACTCCAATTTGTGTATCAAACAAGATGACTGCTGAGGGAATAGGCTGGTACATTCTGTGATGCCCGAAGACGATCCACTAGTAGTTCTACTTGATGCCAGATATACCAAGTCCAGAGACAAAGTGTGAGGCGCAGTGGTTAAAACGCTGTACTGCAGCTAAAACTGTGCTCACGACCTGGGGTTTAAATCCCAGGTAGCCCGCTCAAGGTTGACTCAGCCTTCCATCCTTCCGAGGTCGGTAAAATGAGTACCCAGCTTGCTGGGGGGGCAATGTGTAGCCTGTATAATGAAATTGTAAACCGCCCGGAGAGTGCTTGTAGCACTATGGGGCGGTATATAAGTCCATAAATAAATAAATAAATATTAACACATCCTGTCCTGTTGATAGTAACCGTGCTGTTACTATTTGGAGCATTTTTCAACAGATGACAACCTTAACTGCCTGGAGAACCTTGAAGATTGGCAAAGTTCAAGCACACTGATATTACAATTCTAGTATTGCAGAAGCCAATCAGCTCAGAATTATGGAACCCCAACAGTAAGCTTCCCATCTCATGGTGGGTACATGACTTTGATGTTTAGATGAGCAAGTCAAAAGGGCATGCCTATAATCAAGTTGGAGAGATGGGCCCACCACATTTGCACTTCATGGACATCTGGTGGAGGCAAAAGTCAAAATCCTATGTGGTTCCTAATCTTGGGTAACCCAGGTGTTCTTGGACTGCTACTCCTAGAAACACTGGCCAGCACAGCTGGTAGTGAAGGATTCTGGGAATAGCAGTCAAAGAATATTTGGGTTACCCAAGGTTCAGAACTACTGCCCTACACAGTTTCTCTTCATCTGGAAGGCACGGAGGAACCAATGTTGGCAAGTCCACCGCCTTAGGCACACAAAGAGCATGAACTGCTGGGGTGGAGGCCACGAAGTACATGGACTGTGAGGGTGCAGGTAGTAAAACATGGTATGAATGCAACTGAGTGGGTGGGATGCTGAGCCAACTTCTGGACTCTGTTCTGTGGGAGATATCCCGTTGTGCCTCCTTAACAAGACTTGGACTCAGTGATCTATAGGGTCTTTTCCAGGCCTGCTGTTCCAAGCTTAGGATGATGGTAATAAACCTTTGTCATAGAAGAATCCAGGTAGGTACTGGTATACTGAATGGCAGATGATGGGAAGATAGATTTTTCTCTGTTCACCTAAAATCCAAGATTCTGGAGGAAACAAAGGATGAGGGCTACATGATGAAGACAGATTCTGCAGCAAGCTATATAGAGCTGGTTGTCTATATTGGGGAAATGGTGATGACTTTGGTCCTCAGAACAGTAAGGCTGAACAATACCTTGAACTGAAAAAAATTATGTTTACAGGCAAAGGGAATGAAACATCTGTGGGATGTGCAGACAGACATGTGGAAGTAAGTATCCTTCATGTCTGATGATGCAAACCAGATATCCCATCAGAGGAGAGGTAAAAGGAATGGCACAGTTAATTTGAAAAACATCTGGGATCAGATGAAGTAGTTGATCCTGTGGAGGTCCAGTCCTTCATTCTGTTTTAGAGGAAGGTCCAGTCCCTCAAGGTAACTAGAGATGCTGATAGTGAATGCAAGAGGGTGCAATGTCTGAGATCCCCCCTTCTATGACAGTACCCAGACAATGAATATCTTCAGAGGAACAATGAGGCAGGGCCAATATTTGGATCACAACAGAAGGATGATACAGAGTCATTGTCATAATTGAATCAAAGGTGATCAAAGGCATGGGATTAAATGGTACCAATGTCTGGTCCATATGGAATATCAAACCCAAAGAGTCAGATAAGACAACCAAAGCCACAAGGGTATAGTAATCATTGTCAGTCCAGAAGTTAAAGTTGGAGACATGAAGCTGAGTCAGTCGTATTTTTACAGTCTTTACAGATAGAACAAAGCCATTAATACGCTAACATTTCCTGCAACATACCAGCTTTCAAAATAGCAGCTTTGGGATTTAATCTTTTAGAACAGAACAGTACAAACCAATAAGTAAAAATATAAATAGTCATTTTCAGAATAGTTTTGTTATTTTTACCTCTGTATTGCCTTTTCAATATGTTTATGATCTAACGCAACTCAGGTTGAGGAACACTTCCACCGCAATCTGAATTACCCTGTTTCCCCGAAAATAAGACAGGGTCTTATATTAATATTTGCTCCAAAATGCATTAGAGCTTATTTTCAGGGGATGCTTTATTTTTGTCATGTACAACCATCTACATTTATTCAAATGCAGTCATGTCATCTTCTGGTTGCTGCACAATGATGGAGGGTGGGGTTTCACTGAATTAGGGCTTATTTTTGGAGTAGGACATATTACAAACATCCTGAAAAATCATACTAGGGCTTATTTTCAGGTTAGGTCTTATTTTAGGGGAAACAGGATAAGTGTACACATAAAACAATCTTAGATCTTCTCCTTTTCTGAAACTGCCCAACTAAACATGTTGATCCTAAACTTCAAAGCTGGAAATCAACTTATGTCCATGTAAATATGTTTGAGTGATAACATTAGTTAGCCTTAGCAACCTTAAACCATGAAGTAATCCAGTCATACCACAATCAAAACTCAAGTTCTTACTATCAGTACTGAATCTGTGTAATACAGTTTAATTCACACTTAACACTAACTTCACCTGCTGATAAATCCTCAGCTAGTTTGTAGAGACATCTGAATAAAGAACAGCACTTTTGCTACAGTTCAGTAAATGGAATGTGTGAATGCTGATGATTACAGAAGCACCTCTCTGCAAAGGCTATTTTGTTTAATTTATGCCAATTACATATCATTATACAGTCAAAATAAATTTTTAAGTAGACAATATACCAGAAATGTCACATTTTACATTTACTATTTCATATTCTATAATACTAACCTATGAATACTGAATTCATTTTCTCTATACACTAAACAATTCTGTATGCTAAGCTAATGCTTAGAAATCCACAGCCATATATGCACATGGTCAAGTGACACAAAACAAGCAGCCTTAATGAACAAAAAAAGTATTTGAAATATTTCTGGTAATTGCAAGTCATGATTTTCCTTCAGTTTTGAAGAGTTAAAATTGAGTTAGTAGGGAGCATACCAAATATACAAACAGCCAATATATATTTCCTCTAAAATCTGATTAATGTAGGTAAGATAGCAGAAATAAAGAACAATTAAAACCTCCAGTTATGACTCGCAAACAGAAATGTTTCTTTGTAGCCTAATTTCTACATATGCAAGACCACATATCAGCATGGGATTTGAAAGCCTCTAACTGTAGCTATGTCTTGCCTGCAAATTTGGTAGGACTATGAGTGCTGATGGCTGTTAGAGATTTGGTAAACCCCACACATTCCATGGAGAATACTACTACCTGGTGTGGGCTAGGCATAGGGAAGTGCCTACCTGCCAAAGAGAGAAAACACAGACTGTTCTTAGACAAAAAAATGGCTATCATGTAAGAAAAATCAACTTTTGACCAAATATTTGGAACATTAAGCCTTCAGTTTTTCAGCACATTGACAATGAAGAAACAATACAGAAACTATTTTCGCCTACTGCATACCAGAACTTTCAAAAATTCATCTACCATTTATTGTTCCTATGTAATGTATAATGCAGTTACTTTAGTTATACTGAAACAATTCACAGCACAATTTTACATGTGTTTATTTCAGGACTCGGCTCCTTAGAGTACAATGACGGTTATTCTCAAGAAAGTACTTATCAATATCAAAATTGTATGTAGTTATTTATTTATATGGACTGAGAAGGCTAGGGGGAAAAACAGTAGGTGCATTTGCACATAAGGTTCAACTATCATTTAGCACTAAGTACCAAGCAAAAGAGAGCCCGTGCAAGGCCTCAAGTTCCTGCACTCCTCTCACAACCTGTGTAACCATGGAAAGAAAGTAATTCTTTAGCAGATTCCTGACTTGTCCAACACATGCACACTAGGAATCATGAATTAAAAGAAACTACTCAACTGCTCAACAAGCAAATAAAACTCTGAAATGAGTCTTGCTGGCACACTGAATGAACTAGAGCTTCATGTGTAAGAAATCAGGAATCAGCTAAAGCAACAACTACTTTGGGGTATACTTGGCTTAGTAATATACTGTGAGTGAGAAGTATCTTGGAACTGCTGTAAATCACAAGCAGAATATGTGCCAACACTGCGATGCAGCTGCAAAAAAGGCAAATGCTATTTTAGCTTGCATTGACAGAAGTATAGTTCCAAAATCATGTGGAGTACCAGTTCTTCTGTACTCAGCATTGGTCAGGCCTTATCTTGAGTACTTTGTCCAATTCTGGACATTGTACTTTAAGAAGGATACACACAAAATGGAACAAGTTTAGAGGATGACAACAAGGACTATCGAGGGACTAAGAGGAAAAACTGAAATACTTGGACAGGTTTAGCTTTGCACATAAGGTTCAACTATCAGAAAAGAAGACTGGGGGGGAGATATGATAGCATTTTTCAAATATCTGAAAGGCTACCACACAGAGAAGTTGCAGGATCTGCTCAATCATTCCAGAGTGCAGGACACACAATAATGAGCTCAGTTTACAGGAAATCGGATTTTGGCTGAGTATGAGAAACAACTTTCTAATTGTTAGAGCTGTATGACAATGGAGCTGGTTACCTTGGGGGGTAGTGAGCTCTCCAACACTGGAGCCATTCAAGAAAAAGTTAGACAGCTATCTGTCAGATAAATTTTAACTTGGCTTCCCGCACTGAGCAGGAGGTTGGACTCTATGGCCTTATAACTCCTTCTAACTTCATTATTATATAATTCTACTGCAGGTTTATTCCTTGCCAAGTGAAAGGAGGAGAGGAGTGCAAGGTCCCACACATGCTCCTTTTTGCTTGTACACCTAATGCTAATTCTACAAATGTCAGCTAGCTCAATCAATTTGTTCAATAGAAAGTGATTGAGTTTAAGGTATTTTTTTAACAAAAGGAAAACGAACTAACCCATTTTTCTTGTTTGTTGAACATGTCCTTTCTTGGGTATCTTCGCTCCACCACCAAAGACAGCAAACCACATTTTGTCATTAAGAGGATGAGCCACAATCCTGTACAACTCATTGCTTGAATGCGTTGCTAGACCATGGATGAAGAGACTAAGATAGACAGCTGTCAGAATTTCACAGAGCAAAACTGTGATTCCACACTGAACATCTTCCCCAGCATGACTCAGTAACTGTATCAGAGCCACGACGCCTAGAAAAAGAAATGACAATTTAATATTTAAGCACAGAAAATACAAAGCTGATTTCTCCCCAGAGATACTACTGCAAGGTGACAATGAGAATTTTACTATAGGATCTTAGGACTGTTGATTGTTTGAAAATTTCTTCAGAAACTATTGCAAACTAAGCTAACGGAATACATTAGCTGCACATCCTGATATGGCTTGTTTGTTGATTCATGATGTATTACTAAGTTCATTACGCCTGTCAAGGCTTGTTTGTTGATTCATGATGTATTACTACTGTAAATTCATTACGCCTGTCAACTGACAATGAACTATGAAGATGGCAACCCTGTTAAGAAACAGGTTGCCATATACCAACCACAATACAAAACAATGTTAAGTAAAGTATGAAGGACTTGACTGCATGTCTGCAGCAATATAAAAATACCTGTACATACATCTCTATCATTCACATGTTACGGTTGCTTGGTTGCTACTTTACAGGGTTGCTACCACAAATTTAGCAAACATTGTGTACCTGAGATTACATACTATCCTATATTATTTTTTTACTTTCAAAGAAAATAGTGGAGAAGAACAAAGAGATTTACTTTATTTAGGAAGACTATAGTCTGTTCAATAGGGTGAAAACATTTGTATTCAAGAGAAAATACACAAAAGTGTACTGTTTGAGAGAGAATTAGATACTGTGCCAATCTAGATGCAACACTAAGCCACAGTTTAGCATTATGAGAAGACATGTGGGCTAGTTTTGAGTTTATTAATCAACTCCCATTTCTTATCCAGCACAGCTATGTGGGAGAATTCAGAAGCTTTTTGTTTCCAAATGCATCCTGCTATGTTGTCTGAACCTAGGCAAACATAGTATGGTTAATGGGGAAAGTAACTTCAGTCCCTGGTCAAGAAGCTGGCTAGTAAGGTCAACAGAAAACTGAGTTTTATTCAATGACATGCTTGACTTTGATTAATGTAAGCTGAAAATAAAAGGTTCTGATTTTCTCACGTTTGAACTGGAAGAAAAAAGAAAAGGAGCACAACTAGACTCCCTCATGCAGTAAACTATGGTTTAGCTTAACATCAAAGAGAATCCACACACTCCTATGCAACAATACTAAGAAAGTAAAATCATGACTACCTGGCCACTGAGCTGGTGCAGTGTTGGGAGTTACTGTTTCATCAGAGCTTGCAGTTCTCAGAGAATGTCGGTGAGAGAGCAGGAGAGTCTGATAAACTGTTCCAGTAAACTGATTTGCTTGAAGGGAACTATATATATATGTATATATATTAAAAAGAGATAAAATCAAATGAAGACAGTATATATGCTTTCAGCTATTTTTCAATGTGCCTAGTTTGGATCCAACACTAAACCATGCTTTGCTCAGATTAACTCTCTCTTGTTTTTACAGTAGGAACCCCATATCCATGGGACTGGTATCGACAGGTTAACCACCTGTAATTGTAGTTCTTCGAGTGGACCTCTGTGATTCACACCCCGGGTGATCCGCACCTGTACGGAGCCTCATCAGAAAGTTCTAGAGCTTCTGAGGTAGCAAAAAAACACATTAGAATAGGGCCCCTCCCCCTTGTATAAGTACCTTGGTGCCAAGGCTCCCCTTTCAGTTGTGTCAACTGCCGCTACATTAAGGAGAATGGCGTGACAGTGGGGAGGACAGGCACGCTGCCAGCTGCAGAACAGGTAAGTATGGGTGGATTACTTGGGCGTTGTTCTGAGTGAGGAGGTGGGGCAGTCAAGGGAGGTGGTGACTGTCTGATGAGAGTTTGCAAAGGACTGGAAACCAGGGTTGTCTCGGCCATCAAGGGGCTATAACGATGGCATCAGGTTTGTCTTGTTGTAGGCGAACCGTGAACTTGTGGAGAAGCAGGAATGGCGCTTCTAAGTGAGGATCTTGATCCATCAGGCGATGAATGCATCCCCTTGGGAGTATTTGCCAATGCCGGCTCAGAGCAGTATCATTTGCACTTCCAATTCACGTGGGAGGCAAAGAGATCAAGAGTTGGTTTGCCCCATCATTCACATAGGCAAAGAAAAACTGATTGGTCTAACTCCCATTCATGAGCTTGAGAGTTTGTGCAGCTGAGTAGATCGGGCAAGTCGTTGTCATGGCTGGCGATGTGTAAAGCCATGAGGTAGATATGGTGTGCTAGGCACCACTCCCAGAGGTCGACTGCTATATAGAGGAGACTTGGAGAGTGGGTGCCACCTTGTTTCAGAATATAGTACATCACCATGGTGTTGTCAGTGGCAATTTGTACCATCTTGCCAGTGAGATTTCTGAAAACTTTGCAAGCTTTTATAACCACTGAACTTGGGAGGCGAGTTCTGGGGTGACCCTTAAAAGAGTGTGAGAAGGGTCTGTGAGCAGGCCGAAGAGGGTGGGAAATGACTGAAGAGATCCAATCTTGAGATGTATGTGCTGCACTACTGAAGTCACACAGGCCATGGTGCCTAGTACATGTTGCACAATCAAGTTGGGTACCATAGCATGAGGGGTGAAAACTTGAAGTAATGCGATGGGATTTTCTCTCTTGTCTGGAGGAAGAAAGGCGCAAGCTCGTGTGGAATTTATGCATGCACCTATATAATGAATAATCTTTGTAGGTTTCAAATTTGATTTTTGCTCATTGACAGTGGGACTGAGATCGTGAAGGAGGGTAAGGGTGAAGTGAGTATCTCATTGGACTTGCGACAGGAATGAGCTATGAGGAGCCAATTGTCAATATATGGAAATATGAGAATTTTTTGCAACCTGAGGTAAGCAGCTACTGATTCCATGCACTTGGTGAATACTCTTGGAGCTGTTGAAAGGCTGAAAGGAAGCCTTCTGAATTAGTAGGCTTGTGATCCTAGCTAAAATTGAAGGAATTTTTTGTGCGAGGGATGTATGTAAATATGGAAGTATGCGTTTTTGAGATGTATGACAGTGAACTAGTCGTTTTTACGGAGTAAAGGGAGAACTGATTCAAGGCTAAGCATACGGAACTTTGTGGTAATGATGTATTTGTTTAACTCTCGTAGGTCTAAGATAGGGCAAAGACCTCCGTTCCTTTTTGGGTACAGTGAAATAGCGAGAGAAAACCCCTTTGTTGTGTTGTGAGATGGATTGTATGGCGTCTTTGAGGCGCAAATTTTTTATTTCCTCTTGTAGGGTTTGAGATGGTGGAGTGACGACATGTTCCCTTTGTTGTGTTTGGAAGAAATGGATGCGGTAGCTGTCGCGGATGATGGACAGTACCCAGGCATCTGTAGTGATGGATTCCCAGACAGGTAGGTGTTTCCAGAGGGCAGGATGGGTGGAGTGGTGTGCGATCTCGGTCATGGCAGCATCAAACATGATGTTTGGGCTTGCGGCCATTGCGCCTAGTAATGGGTTGTTGGCAGGGTTTATTTCCTTGATTTCTGAAATAGGTTGTATAAGATGTTTGTTTTGGAAGATAATATTGGAATTTTTGATACGGGTTGTACGGTTGTCTCCATTGATTTTGTTGGGGCATTGTTGGTAAGATGGATAAACATCTAGCTGCTGATCTTTTCTTCTGCACATTTTAAAAATATAATCAGTTTTAGCATTAAAGAGGCCTGCCCTGCTGAATGGAAGGTCTTCAATACGTGTGCGGGTATCCTCAGCCAGGCCAGCTGTCCTTAGCCAAGAGAAATGTCGTAAGGCTACCAAACTGGCCACTGACTTTGCTGTGGCATCTACTGTGTGCCTAGCAGAAAGTATCTGTTGTTTGGCAATGGAAAGACCTTCTTGTTGAAAGGTATGGGCGAATACTTTTTTATCTTCTGGTAAAGATTCGACAAAGGTTGACATATTGTCCCAAAGGAAACATTGATATACACCTATGGCTCCCTGGTAGTTATCGACATGCATGGTGAATGCTGCTGATGAATAAAACCATCTTCCCATCGAGTCAATCCTTTTACTGTCTTTATTTGGTGGCATGAGGGTTTGTCGATGTTGAGATCTGGATTGTGAGACTTCGACAAAAATAGAGTTTGGAGCTGGTTGTTTTTGAAGAAATAGAGCTCCAGGATCATGGACTCTGTAGAGGTTTAGACATGGTATGGGAAGAGGCTGGTTTTGTCCAGGATTGTTGAGCGGTGCTGAGTAGAGACAGAAGCATTGAGATGTGTACTGGAGTAGATGCATCTTTAGATATTGAGTCGTACAGATGATCGGCCGGTTCAGTCAAAGGACGGTGGATTTGGGTATTGAGAGAGAACACCCACACTGCAGGGGAGAACATGTAATTTTGACACTGACTCAAGTATGATCCATACGGATCATAAGTTGGGTGTGAGTTTGGAAGTCTTCCGCCAGTGATGGTGGGTCGCCATCGACAAGGTCGGATTCCGGTGAGGTAAGTAATACTGACAGCGTCTGAGGTATGGATCCGTGATCAGAATAATCGGGATTGTGTTGGGAGTTGACGGATTGTCGATCGACTTCGGTGTCATTAGGTTGAGTGTCATAGTATTGACGTTTGAGGCTCTATGTCGATGGAGCTGGCATGTCCATGGGCATTTGTCAATGTCGAGGATTTCCAATGCCAAGAGATGTAATCCGAGTGTCCATGGACATTGATTGATATAGCTGAATGTCAGTGTTCAACTCGGGGTCATAGTGATGTCAAGTTTGATGGCTTGGTTCTATCAGGTGATGAAAATTGTGCGTCAATAGAGGGATAGAACGATTGTCTACCTTTAGTGGGGAGAAACAACATGCAATGCACAGTTCTTCCTCTAGCTTGGCACAACAAATATTCAGTTTAAGAGGATGAATAGGGCATGACAAAAAATGGTAATAATTCATGTTCATTGAATATTTATATAATACGCCATTCCATGCTGAAAGCACACATTTCTATAGCCAATCAAATCAATGTTAAAAAGGCATATTAAAATACTGTATAACATTTAGATAAACTAGCCTTCTGTTGTTTCCAGAGTAGCCGAGTACATGAGACTTATCAGAAAATAGTCTGCACTGAGTTCAAGGAGACCTGAGCGGACAATGCATCTTATGCATGTTTGCTCAAACTGGGGCTAAGAAGAGTTTCCTCTCAAGTACTGAAGCCAGAGGAGTTCATTCACAAAATATGTGATCAAATGTTTAGAAGCTCATTCTCCTTAGCTTTCCTGTCATTTTATAAACTCAGCTTTTCAGGTTTCTATGTTATATATAGTTAGTGCACCCTTTCATTACCTTTATTATAAAAGAGTTTTCTTTATATAGTTCTGCCCATTTTCTGGTGAATTTTCTACCTTCGCCGGAGCGAAAACATCGCTGGAGGGGTAAGTTTCCACGCTTATTGGAACGCATTAAACTAAGTTTAATGCGTTCCAATAGGCTTTCCTTACCCGCACAGCGATGTTTTCGTATAGCGAAGGTTAATCCGGAACAGATTAACCTTCGCTATACGGGGCACCACTGTATTTTCCTCGTCTAGATTAGCGGGAAAATATCGGGAGACTGGAGCTGATTGGAGTCCAGGTGAGTCATGATGATATGGCCATTTCACCATGCGATGGCTGTCGAGATCGAGGCCCGCCATGAGAAGGCATGGCTGAGCTGGATAGAGCAACTGGTTAACTGGAGCTTGCAGTTTGGCCAGTTGAGCACTGGTTGGGGCAAATGGCAACCCGATGAGTGCGCTGAATGAGGATCTGAGCCACGTGTGATGAAATAGACAGCTCCAGGGACTGCTGGGGCCAATGTCTCCGAGGAGGTCGTAGTGGATGATCAGACATTACCGAATAAGGTAAGGTCTCTAGTTGTTGTTCAGAGTCGACCCTGTTAGGTGAAGCAGCTACAGAAGGGTTTCTCGAAGGAACAGTGTTGAGGACTGGGAGGAGAAGATGTTAATCGATCAACTCTGTCATCCCATTCTGGTGATTGGGAGCAGGGTTGATGAGAGGGGATTTCATCATCGTCTGCAAAAGGCTAACCAATAGATTGATTCGGCGGTTTGTTGAGCCTGCTGAGAAATTACTGCAGCTTTAGATTTTTGCTATTTAGGTCTTTTAGGGGGAGAGGGCTCCGGGACCGAAGAGGCTTTGGTGGACATTTGACGTTTAGTGGAGGGCTTCGATATCAAAGATTTCAGTATCGAGCGCTTCGATTTATGGGTTTTTGAAGTGGAGGGAGCATCTGAGTGGGATGGTGTGGTCAATGGACGTTGTTTGGAGGCTTCAGAAAGAACCTTCTGCATTGGTTTGTGAGGTGGCCGTACAAGGAGGCTGGGCCATTTTGGTTGGTTGAGGGGATTGTTCCCCAAAACTGAGTTTTAATCTGGATAAGTGAGAACAGATGACTCCCCACTTGAAGTTCTTACAATGCTGGCAGAAGGACATCTGGTGTGCCTCTCCCAAGCAAAAAAGACACTTGGCATGGCCGTCGGAGAGTGGTACAGTGGTGCCTCGCTAGACGATTACCTTGCAAAACGGTTTATTTGCAAGATGATGAGTTTTTGCAATCACTATAGCGCTTTGGAAAACGTTTTTTTTCACTGGATGATGTTTTGGCCCATGCTTCGCAAGACGGGGCTTTGTTTTTTTTGGGGGGGGGAGACCATTTTTCGTAAGATGACGATTTTGACAGCTAGGTCCGCGCTTTGCAAAATGGGTGTTTCCGGGACCGTTTTTCGCAATAGAATGATTTTGACAGCTGATCCGCGCTTCGCAAAACAGTTTCTCTATAGGCGATTTTCGCAAGATGACGACTATTTTCCCCACTGGAATGCATTAAATGGATTTCAATGCATTCCAATGGGGAAACCACATTTTGCAAGACAATGTTTTCGCAAAACAGCAATTTTCACGGAACGAATTAACATTGTCTTGCAAGGTACCAGTGTATTTTGTTATCACAGACCACACAGTGTTTAAATGGGCCCAAAGGAGCCATGAATAGGAGAGAAATAATTTGAGGAGAAAAAGCAATGATCGAGAGTGTGCTTTGGCTGGAGGCTGAGTGAAGCAGAAAGGAAAAAAATCTCTTATGATAATGAACTTTATCTAAAAGTTTAAAGGAAAAAAGATTGATAATAGGAAGGAATCAAGAATAAACTCTATTTTTCTTTTATTCACAGAAGCAGAACCATGAGGCTCTGAATGCGGCAGTTGAAAGAAACTGAAAGGGGAGCCTTGGTGCCAAGGTACTTATATGGGGGGGTGGGTTATTCTAATGTGTTTTTGCTACCGCAGAAGCTCTAGAACTTTCTGATGAGGCTCCGCACAGGCGCAGTTCACCCAGGGTGTGATTCACAGAGGCCAAAAGAACAACCACATTTTCACTTTCTCACGGTTAACCACAGCCCTATAAACAACATACAAGAATGCCCCCTCACATGCATGCATGGACACCCCCCCCCACAAGTATGCTAAACTGGTCCGTGGTGCCAAAAAGGTTGGAGACCACTGATATATAGGGTTCCTATATCTGTGGTTTCAAGTATCCATGCCAGACTGTGGAACCAATCCCTCAATATGTATTGTACATTTGAACCCGACCAGAATCACTAATGATGGCTTGTATATTTTTACATCATAACTATGACTCCAAGTCACAGGGGAATAAAATATCACATTTATTGCAAACCAATTCTCACTTCTAAATATAGTTACCTGTAGTTATGACTTCCACAAAGAGACTGGTATATGCAAGCTGACAGAGATGCTGCTAAAGTATGCATCACGTGTATCTGAAAGAAAGGCATGTATAACTATCTGATTAAACCTCATAAAAATGTTTTAGGTAAACTTATCTGTTTTCAGAAGTATTTTATCTAATCAACTGCAAACTGCAACATATCCCCACATCAAATTCAACACAAGAAATACTAATTCTGAACATACACAGAAGAACTAATATGGTATTCATTACAGTAGTTTTAAAACGCACATTTATGTGCTATATTAAACATGTGGACAAGTATAAATATTTACAAGCTTTTACAAACAAATGGTACAAACATTAAAAGTCTGAAATACTGTACTACTTGCCTTGGTATTCTGTATATCAGGATGTGGTGGTGAATCAAGGTTTATTATAGCATGTAGTATGTCATGTGTCAAGTTACTTAGATGCAGTAAGGGATTGGCCACCACAGTTTTGGCACTTGCAGTACAGGCAAAGAGAAGTGGTACAGAGCTCTGCTCAGATACGTTATTGATAGGCAACTGCACAGACATCTCCTTGGCGGAGAGGGGAAAAGAAATAGAAAGTACGTTTTGATATCTGAGATTCTTACATAATTTAGTCTCTATATATCAGCACTAACAGTGATTTCTTTGCTTCTAAAGAATATCCCAAAAGGTAAAAAACATATGACTGTTTATTTATTTATTTTATTTGTATCCCATCCATCTGGTCTGTTCCACTGCACAGACATCTCCTTGGCGGAGAGGGGAAAAGAAATAGAAAGTACGTTTTGATATCTGAGATTCTTACATAATTTAGTCTCTATATATCAGCACTAACAGTGATTTCTTTGCTTCTAAAGAATATCCCAAAAGGTAAAAAACATATGACTGTTTATTTATTTATTTTATTTGTATCCCATCCATCTGGTCTGTTCCCCCACTCTGTGATTTGTATCCCGCCCATCTGGTCTGTTCCACCACTCTGGGTAGCTTCCAATAAACATATATACAATAAAAACACAGAGATTTCACAAACAATCCATAACACATACAGTACGATACTAAAACAGATAATAAATAAAGAAAGAATAGAGGAAAATTAAGTATTGATAGGAGGGAAGGCCTGAATGTACAGCCATGTTTTTAGTCGACTCTTTAATGGTGCCCAGCGTGGGGGCCGCACAAATTGCCAGAGGAAGGTTATTCCAGAGGCGAGGAGCCACCGCCGAGAAGGCCCGATTTCGTGTCCTTTCCTTCCAGGCCTCCCTCGGCGTTAGGCTCCTCAGCCTCACCTCCTGACTACACCCAGTATTAGTCCTACTTAAGAGCAGAGCTACTAAAATGAATGGGACTTGTTATTCACCACTCACTTAAATTCCATTTACCGTATATACTCAAATATAAGCCGACCAGAATATAAGCTGAGGCACCCAATTTTACCAGAAAAAACTGGGAAAACTTATTGACTCGAGTATAAGCCAAGGGTGGAAAATGCAGCAGCTACTGGTAAATTTCAAAAATAAAAAAAGATACCAATAAAATTACATTAATTGAGGCATCAGTAGGTTAAATGTTTTTGAAGATACTGCCCTCCTGAGCTGCGAGACACACTTCACTGCCTTTGGAGGGAGAACTCGTACCTGATGCTGCACTTATCTACTGCTCTACTGCTGCGTAACAAGATGGAGGGAGACAGAGGATGGAGGAGGAAGGTGGGAAGAGGAAGGTGGTGTGGCATATCCCAGTAGGAATCAATGTGACAGACCCAGACCTACTGGGATATGCCACAGTTTCACCAAGCTGCCACCAACCATTCCCTGTAAGAAGTCACACAGACCAGGGATGGATGTTTAACAAATAAAAGAATAAGGTTTATTTAAAACAACACACAGGGAAAATAAAATGATCAGGTGAATAAGATTTAGTAACATGGCTTAGTTTCACTCATACATACACACAGTTTGGTTCACACAGAACCCTTAACTTGAAGCACAGACCCTGAACCTATCAGTTCTGGCTAACCAACGGACACCTGAACCTATCAGGTTGGTACTCTGACACACAGTAGTACCCTGTCTGACACACAGACTCCCACACCAGCTTCTTCTTCCCAGCTGCTGCTTCGTCACATCCCAGCGTCTCCTCTTCACCACACAGGCTTCACATATATATACAGTACAGCCCCTCCTCCTGATGTCCCGCCTTCCACTCCCCATAGGATGGAACTTTCCCTCCAAACCCATGACAGACAGGTAACATCAGTGCTGTATGTAACACCTCCCCTCTTTATAAGTTGTTTTGTAGGGGGAAAGCTAA